CATATCCCGGTGGGGGGTTTTTAAGAGAACAGATAAGAGGTTTCCAAGACTTGCTGAGACGAAACCCATCCTCTCTGTTCATATTCCCTGGATGCAGTTCGATCTCAATGGCTTCCCTAATGATGCGATCCATATAGCGCGTCTTGGTGGCGAGGATGGAGGTATTCTGAAGCTGAATGCGTTACTTGTAGATTGTTCAATAAACCAATTAACGATCTCTACGGCGTATTCAGTAACGAAACACGTTACAATATCTTACAGCTTCCCAGTGGTTGCATGGATTATATAATTGTAATGAGTAGCATTAATATGGATCTATATTAGACCAGTTCAGTAATCTGAGACATATTTAATAAGACTGTCTGAAGATGGCCCCATTTGTTGACCGAAACATATAGCAACCATTAAATAAAACCAATATGAGCAGTTCATTTGGTTTCATTTTTATTTATTGTGGTGTTGACAGCCAAATACCATTGATCCTTGAATGATTTGTTAATTACCACAACCAAGAACCTGGAGATAGTGGTCATGCCTCTTAAGTATGCCCACTAAGTCTAATTGAGAATGTTTTGATCACAGTTTTCTCTGCTCATTGGTCCTATGTTTCTTTGGGCCACTAATTCATAATTAATTTTTTCCAACTCTTCTCATCACACTTGAGTATGAGGTTACTGGATAGTTTTTCTTTGGGTAGATGTCTTCTTTTTAGAATAATAAACAGTGTCAGCTTGTAAAGAGAAATTACTGTTACAGTTTCTCTTAGCCAGTACTGCTACTGCAGGTTTTGAACTCTTAAAGTCAATTGTGGAGTTGTTAGGCATGTCAAGAAATACAAGTGTCATCTGTGTTTCCCATATGGTCTTGAAGGTAGTCATGTTTCCGGTGCAGACTAGTCACATGCTTCCAATACAAGGGAGAATCAATAAATAGGTCACAAATAGAAGTAAAACATCTGTAATGAATGTAATAGGTTTTCTATTGAGGCACTGCTACAAGCCGGAAGGTCGCGGGTTCAAGTCCCGATGAGGTCATTGAATTTTTTTCAATTGACCCAATCCTTCCAGCCGCACTATGGCCCTGGGGTCGACTCAGCCTCTAACAGAAATGAGTACCAGGAATTAATTAAATAATTTTCCTGGGGAAGAAAGCGTGGCCGGCGCGTAGGGCTGACAACCTTACCGCCATCTTTGAGCCGATTGTCTAGATAATGTGGGACCCTCAACGTCTCACAACCCTATGGGCCTTCACGGCTTGGTACAGGGATACCTTTACTTTACTTTACTTACTTACTTTATATGTATTACTAGGTAGCAGCACAGTCCAGCTTGATGACAGTCTAGGTAGCAGATGCACATGTGCTTATACAGAGGCTGATTTCAGTAGTCAGAATGGTGACCATGCTTGAGGAGTGTACTGCCAAAGACGAGCATTCTGTTGTTGTATTTTTATGGGCGAAAGGACTTAGTGCAATGGGTATTCTTAAAGTAAATTTTTCCTGTTTATGGTGGGAAGTATTTGTCACATAAAGCTGTTCACAACTGGGTTGAGAAATTCTCTCAAGGACATTTGGAAGTCACAGATGATGCCTGACCAGGTCACCCTGTTGAGATTGTAACAGAAGCATCTGTGCAATGGGTGGAAGAGTTGATTCAGGTTGACAGAAGGATAATGATTGACAGTGTAGCAACAGCACATGTTTCCATAGCATACAGGGTAGTGCATGATCGTTTGAAGTTTCAGAAACTATGGACAGTGGGTGTTCAGAAAACTGAAAGATTGAGAAACCATGAACCAAATGGGTCTCCATGCAACATCTCTTATGGTATGCTGATGAAGAATATATACATAACAGGATTGTTACTGGTGCATCATTACCAACCCAAATCAGCGTGCTTCAGCGCAATGGAAGCATCCCAGTTCACTTTCAACCAGAAAGTTTAAAGTTACACCATCAGCTAGGAAGGTTGTGCTTACCATATTTTGGGATTCTCAGAGAGTACTGTTAGCCCATTTTCAGAAATGTGGTGAAAATGTGAATTCTATATCATACTGTAAAGTTCTGTTGAAGCTTTGGGATTCAATTCGCAGAAAATGTCCAGGCCAACTGGCAAAAGAGGTACTTCTTCATCATGACAGTGCCAGACCCCATATGGCCCAAGGAACCCAGGAGAGAATTCAGGAACTACATTAGGAACTTCTTGAACATCCACCTTACAGCCCAGGCTTGGCTCCTAGTGACTTCCATCTGTTTGGTCTTCTAAGCAAATCACCTTGATGCCACACGTTTCAATGGTGATGAAGAGGTTGAACTGGAGGTGTGAAAGTGGCTGAGACAACAGTCAAAAGACTTGTATGCAGCAATGGAAAAAATGTATCACTGTTCTTGGAGGATATGTCAAGAAATAAATGTTTTTTCCAGGTTTGAATATCACATGTTTTACATTTTATGCCCATTTGTGACTCTCCCTCATGCAACTACTCGGTTATAGTGTATGGGAAGCTTCTGAGTAGATGTTATTCTCATAAAAAGAGTTATGGTGTTTTGTCCACCATGGATCAGTCAGTATCTTCGATAACGATGCCACTTCAAAGACTTCTGTACATATTGTTGCCTATGAAACATGGAGCTCATCCTTCTGTTTTTTGAGCACAAACTTGGACCTTTATGTCTTTGTATTATCCTTGTTTTTAATTCCCTATTTGGGGGTGGTGGGAGAAAGGGGGAGGAGGTTTGGAAGTGGCACACACTGTTGTTTCATTCAGTTTTGTCCTGCATTGGACATTTACTTCACCAAATTTTGGGGCTGGAGAGAAGTTGTTTGTTTCTGACACATCCTTCACAATCTTTAATTGAAATTTGTGTTGTAGCTGTATCAGAACTCTTTCAATTTCTTTGACACTAGAACCTCTCTTTTCAACATGGTACTCCACTGAACATTGCATTGGTTTTCCTGCCCATAAGCATGCTTCCTTGACCTTGAAATGAAAGAGAGGGAATGATGTGAAACCTACCCAGAAAACAAAACTTGCTGTGTGCTGCTGGTGAAGTAAAGACATTGATTCCAGTGTGGTATTTTCTGAGTATGCAGGTGTAAGACAACCCTTGTTTTTTTTTCAGATGTCCAAGTATGAAAAAAGCCTAGTCTTATATTCAGGTAAATACGGTGTTTTTGCCTCATGCATGTTGAGGTTTATTTTTATTTTGATACAGATTTTTGTAAGTCATTGAAGATGAGTTGTTGCAGTCATTTGTTTGCTGTTTAAGGCATCATGGGTGTGTCAGTGTGATGATAGCATTGTACAACAACTGGAAGCAGATTTCAAAAAGACACTACATCAGCAGAATTCTTTGGAGCAGTGGGCAGCCTGGCTGAAGGGTGTCGTTACCCAAGTACTGAAGCCATATGAAGGGAAACCCAACTTTGCCAAGGCTGCTAGACAGTTCTTACTCAAATGGTCATTTTACAGGTAGGCACAATTATATGATTTGTGGTCCTATTAATGGCTTCAGTGCCAGTAATTTTGCTGCTAGCGTACCTCCCAGTCTGGTCTTTTTTACCAATACACCACTGGTTTATGCTGTTCCATAAGTAACCTAAGTTCATGAATTGCAAGGATTTATACCGTTACACAATAAACGTGGATTTCATTAGTCTATAACAAAATAATTGAAATTAAGTAATAAGTAAGTCAGTTTATTATAGTAATCACACTACATGTTTAAGTCAGACCAACCATCATCAGGTGTGTATAAATAAACCAGTAAGTATATTATGTTGGCCATGCCATAGCTCAAGCGGTTAGTCGCTGGCTTCCCATCGCGGCGACCTGGGTTCGATCCCAGCTCTGGTAAAGTGGGATTTGTGGTGGACAAAGTTGTGCTGGGGCAGGTTTTCTTTGAGTACTTCGGTTTCCCCTACCATTCTTCATTCCACCAGTTGCTCCACAATCACCCTCACCTATCATCTGGGGCTGGTACAATAGGCCAGAAGTGGCCACAGTACAAGGGACCTAGTCCTACCCCATTAGCAATAAAAAAAAATATATATTATGTCATTTCTGAATAATATGGTCAGAATGAATCCATTTTTTGCTGTCTTTATATTAAAGGTTTTTTGTGTAGGAGTTTGTATAGAGTAGATTAAAAAGAAAAAAATTTAAATATATGCATAAAAGGTAAATATGAGGTGGTATATATATATATATAAAGTAAAAAGAAAGTAAAGCTATCCCTGTAACAGGCCGTGAAGGCCCATAAGATTGTGAGACGTTGAGGGTCCCAAATTATCTTATATATATATAAATATATTGTAACATGTTTGGGAAAGACACTTCCGTAGTAACGCAACAACAGTGAGCCATTGTGTCGAGAATGTCGAATCTCCACGGTTACAACGAATGCACGGAGCGTTCCCACAGAGACAATGCAATAACAGTGGGTCGTTGCGTAGGAATTGCAGAATCAACAAAGCAGCATTTCCACGGTTATAACAGAGGGTTCATTTGCATAGCAGCGGCCGAGGGTATAAAAAGGGGTTGAATGCATTCGCCAGACAGTCTCGGGGCAGATGCTGAGAGATACAGAAGTAAGTCTGGGAATAGCCGCTACAGAAGACATTCGAAATATAGCAGCCAAGATCAGTTGTACAAGAAGTAACTATAACAGTGAAGCAGTGGATAATAATTGTACTTGTAAGTGTATAAGTGAAGCGTCCATTAAAGATTTGCTGAATCCGAGACTCACGCATAGTTATTTGTTGCGTGCCATACACAACACATGACAATATATTGGTATTTATACACACCTGATGATGGTCAATTAGACCAAACCATGTAGTGTGATTGGTATAATAAACTGATTGGCTTGTTATTTAATTTCAGTCATTTTATTATACACTAACAACAAAACCCGCTTTTATTGTGTGGCAGCGTCAAACCCTAGAATTCACATACACTAGAGGATGCATAACGTGAAATTAAGTTTGTGAAATTCTCAAACATATCTTAGGACTTGATGTATTTCTGTTGTATCACATGCTCGTGGGTGGAAGGGAATACCACATTTCCAGCAAAATTACCTGGTTTCACCAATTTTCTTCTTCTCGAGGCAGATTCTGTGTATCTTAGTTCTTAACACAGTCTGTATGAATGTGAGGAAGTGAATTTATTCTGCATTTCGTGAAAAAATCAGAATTGTTGAACATGATACACTGAAGCATATGAAAGGAGAGTTTCTTTGGCCATGTCATTGTTTTCCATATGAAGGGATAGGGAGCTAAATACTAATCAGTGTTATCCACTCCATGTATGTGTTATACTGCACAGTACATTCAAATTTCAGACTTCCCTTTACGTAGTGGTGGCATGATTTTAACAGAATGAGTAGTAGATATTATGTGAATTACTTTGTCCTTCCATTACGCCAGTATTATCTTGTCCAAATGTTACGTCACCTCACTTTAGTGTATTTGTGTTCTTCCTCAAGTCTTTAGGAAGACCTCTGTTTTGTCTGATGTTCTACAGGAGGTAGTTATGTTCCTATGATAGCTGTTTTGATAATTTTACACTGCTATAATGATTGGCCACTTCATATCCTTGCCAAGACATGGATCTAATAAGTAAAAAACAATTATTTATGAGGTCATACCATTTCCATCACAGATTAGCAACTTGCTATGTATCCTTTTGCAGATTCACACACCATTTTCATCACCATTACATACTTGCAGTCAGTTCCTCCAGGCTTAACATTCCTTGTCCTAGTGCCCCTTCCATTTGTAGAGTATATACTGATATACAGGGATGGACAAAGTAATGGAAGCACTAATTAACTGAGGAATAAAATTTGTTTGTGTTGGCTACATTTAAAGAACTTCATTTGGAAACACTGAATGTTCTTCTGTTTGTTTACACTCTTAGTGCTTTAGTCAGTATGTTGGTGATTGTGCTGAGTGGCAGTCCATGTGAAAGAATTGGAAAATTGGAGACTTGTTTGATTTTGAAAGAGGACATGTCATTGGTGTGCGTTTAGCCATAGCATCTGTGACAAACTGCTGTTTCTAATGTTATATCAACATACACAAATCGTGGGAAGACAGCCTCAGTGAAGAGGAACAGTGGGTGAAAATTAACATCGACAGAAAGAGGCTGTTGTACATTGAGAAGGGTTTCTTTTCAAAAAAGTCACATAACTACTGTGGCACAGGTGACAGTATAACTGAATATTCAACTTGAAGACCCAATTTCCAGAAAAATCTGTCTGACATGAGCTTTGCAAATCCAGCATCCATGGTAGGGCTGCAACTGCTAAAGCTGCTTGTTACTGAAACTAATGCTCAGATGAGTAAACGATGCTGTCATGACCATGAAACCTGAACATCAGACAACTGGAAACACGTGAAATGGTCAGATGAGTCGTTTTACATGCTTTTCCCTACGTCGGGAAGTGTTTAGGTTTGGAGAACACACAAGGAAGCCTACAATCCGGTATGCCTGGCTCCTACAGTGAAACATGAGAACTTCTGTGATGGTTTTGGCAACAGTATCGTGATATTCTTCAGGTCCCCTTATTACTTTTCATGGCTGAATTACTGCATGGGAGTATGTTAACAGGTTGGGTAATCAGGTGCATCCCATGATTCAGACTTTTTTTCTGAACAATGATGCAGTTTTCCAAGACAGCACTGCCTCCATTCATACAGCTGGAACTGTTCAGTCATGGTTTGAAGAACATGAACTTCAACATCTTCCCTGGCCAGCACAGTCACCAGATTTGGACACTGTTGAACCACTGTCATCAGCTTTGGAGACTAGAGTGAGGAACAGATTCCCACCTCCAACATCTCTAAAGCAACATGAGGATGTTCTTCAAGAAGAATGGTATAAAATTTCACTAGAGACTGTTTAAAACTTGAATGAGTCCATTCCAATATGGATTGTGGCTGTACTGAAGGCAAAAGGTGGTCCGACACAAAGTTAATAAAGAAATGTATACAGTATCTGTAGTTTTTCCATTATTTTGTCCAATCCCTGTATATTTGTCTGCCAGCATTGCTAGAATTGACTATTGACTGAAGCCATAACACTCCTGAGTTATATTTGGGAGGGCAGTTGTTCAAATCTCAGCTGGCACTCCTATCTTGAGAGTGTGTTCTGTGGTTTCCCTCAGTCCTCTCAGGCAGATGCCAGGATAATACCTTAAATTAGGCCATGGCCACTTCCATATCATGTTCAGTTCATTATTCACTGTCATCTAATCATTTGATGATTTATGGTCTCATTTATTGACATCATTAAATAAATCACAGTTAAATAAAATAAATGGAATATTACTCTTACAAGGTCTCACCTGAATTTCTCTTGGAGTTGTGGTTGTGGCCATTGAATTTTTGCACTCATTTGAAACATTTTCTGTTCTTGGCAGCTCAATGGTCATAAGGGACCTAACCCTCCGAAGTGCAGCAAGCTTTGGCTCCTTTCACCTGATCCGTCTACTATATGACGAGTACATGTTCTTCCTGATTGAGCACCAAGTTGCTCTGGAGACAGGGGAGACACCTATTGCAGTCATGGGAGAGGTAAATATACAGGATGAATGAAAAATATTTTGTCGAACTGTTGATTTTTCATCGGTTGAGTATTGTGACTTGTATTTTATGGGAAAGATGTTTCTGTTGTCTGCCATGACAAAGATTTGTACTGCCTTTTCAAGTGTCATGTATTGATAAATGGAATATTCACCAGCATCGCCTCAAGATACCGACTGTGGATTCTGGCTTTCTGAACGATGTATATAAATCATGAGAGTTCTGTTAGGTCTATAATTTTTGCAGATTTTCCATAGTAATAACATTAACTTTGCATGTTTCTTTTTTTATGCAGAAATACAATAACAATCCGTCCAGTGTGAGTGACTTTATCCAACCAGGCTCCTGTAATGGGGGTGTGTCTCTTACAATGGGAGTTCCTGTCTCTGTAGGAGGGAAGATGGCTCCCACAACCCTAGTTGTTGGAACGAATGAAGTTAGCCACCATCCAGTGGCCACAAAGCGCTTCAAGATCAGCTAACAACTGCATTAATTCTAGTCAGGGGGAGATGAAAATATACTGTGTCATACCTCAAATTTCATCTTGCCATCATATGCCATATTTACCTGAAGCTTAGAGCAACAGCTTGTGGAATGTAATTGAGTATAGCAGAATGCTGCACAAGGTAGGGGACCATCTATGCACCTGGCATCTTTTGAAATTACAACATAGCATATTAACTGAATCATAAAAAGAAACTGGGGTGTAAATGAAAGCTTGGTGATGAAACATGAAGAAGAATATATATTTGTCAAAGTAAATGTTGCAATTAAATTTGAATATCTGTGAGAGACAAAAGAAAGGAAATATTTTACTTAAAATCAAGATAATTGAAACAAGTTGTTTATGTTTCTAGTTAGGACTAGACAGGGCATTTATAAAGCTATTTTGTTATAAGGTGTAGTGCAGTTTTTTTGGTTTCATGGTGCTGTAGAAATATTTGCTAATATTGTACTGTATATCCCACCAAGTATTGGAGGTTCTGTTATGTGTGTAAATAAGTATACAGCCCCTCCTCTGTGGCAGATATTGGAAGGATAATATGCCATTACAGTTTTTCTTTCAACTTACAGTACATGTCCTTCCAGCAGCATGTTAATAAGTACTTAATACATGATTTATGAAAGGTGACATTTTGCACATTTCCCATTATTGTTGTGCCTCAAAGTTTGAAATTTGTCTAGTGTTTTGATAATGCAATGGGTGCCAATATTCAGACTATAATGCAGTATGCATTAGTATAACATAACTTATTGCACTTCTAATTTTAGATGTTGTGTGAACAAATTTTCATACTTTCAAGCTTGTTGAAAGTATTATTGATTCATGTTATGGAATGGAAAAATTCATTCACTTTTTTTTATTGTTCTACACAAGTTTTTTTTTTTTTTTTTCCCCCAGGCTGAATGCACTTACAGTTCTTAAAGATAAGATTTTCCTTGTGCACTTAATATACCAGTGGAGGGTATCTTTTTCTTTAAGAACAGTTTTGTATAATTCATAGTGCAAGATATGGCACTGCTTAAATTTAAATCGAAGTAAATGTGTGATTCATAATAATGCTCTCTGTTTTGTAATCAGCATCACTACTATGTGTTTTTGTGTTGTGTGGCATTACATCAGAACAGCACCATGTTGCCAAACAACTACAATATAATATAAAAGAAGAGTTACTATTGTGTTCTCAGCAGAATGTTGATGAGCTTATTCAAAAAATGAAGAGTTAGGCACATTCACACCAAAATCTTGATCGAGCAAGAATTTATACAATTGACTAAAAAACATATTCTTCCTGCTGCATTTTTGCTCAAGATTCCATCCATCCATAAAATAAATTATTCTTTTTAATTGTTAATTATAATGGAGAAGAAATGAAAGGGATCTGAATATGTAGGATTCGGATACATTCCGTAAAATACAATACAAGTACAATATTAGTTTTGTTAATGATATTGATAACTCATGTTTGTTAATAATAAAGCATGGTGACACTCTTGAATTTTCGCAACTTCCCCTCAAGGCTTGTAAAATTAGAATTGTAGATTCAGTATAATGACTCTTCTGCATATTCAGAATCATGTAGGGGCTTCACGTAGCTAATGAAACCATATTTGCAATTGGAACATTCTTATTTATTATGATTGTCTGTTTTGTGGCTTTTGTAAATTTACATATGAGAAATATTGTATTGTGTGTGTATGTAAATGATGTAAATATTGTTTTTTTTGGAAATTACAAGTAGGCATATGCAGGAATAACTTCTTCAGTTCAAGATGAGCTAGAGATGAGAATTGAGACAACAGGGATTTTCTCTATTAGATCAGTTATGTCACTGTAATCACAGTTTCTAACACTAGCCACTTTTTGACAGTGCACAGAAGTGTAGCCTTTTCATATCAGTTATCTTTCAGTGAAAAATCTTCAAGAATTGATGTAATTAAAAATTTGCATCTGTGACCATGTCCATTTTCACCTTTGGCAGAAAGAGGGCAAGAGATAGATTTTGCTGACAAGTTAGTCTGTGCTGACATTGCCAACAATTGTGTTATTAGTAGGGTAAGATAGTTTGCTTACTGCTGCACAAAGGAAAAGCACTTGCCTGAAAATCCTTGTAGGTCAAGACTGAAAAATCAACTTTTGAATCAAGATTGAGAATTTTTCTTGATTTCAACTTGAAAATTTGATTCATGCAAATGCCTAACTACAAAGTAGTACATGTTCTTACAGAAAAATTCAATGTGGTCATCATGCTGGTATCCTGTATGAATGTTCTACCATCATTCGTTTGCTTAGACAGTAAGTTCCCAACATGTCAAGGTCATGATCGATGTGTGATCATCAAATTATTTTCCTACAGAAATTGTTGTTTTTGGCCTAAGAATGTCATCAACAACCTACCTCTTTTTTTCTGAGTGTAATGAGTTAAACTTGTAATTGAATTTCTGTGCTAGCCCTTAGATATTTTTTGTGAACTCACCTACAGTTGTAGATGTTATGTTTGCCACATACTAATGTGTGAAGAAAGTTAATGCGGAAAATTTTGTTTTTAGTTTTAAATGTGAGTTAAACCCCCCCCCCCCATGGTACATGATTCCCCTACTGTTACTACAGTCTTATCTGTAACATCTAAATGTTGCAGATTATGACAAAAAAATTATTCACAATATAGCTGTCGGTGGTTGACAAAACAGTATATTCATGTTTGGAGCTGTACATCATCTTTCTTATTGACATGAAGAAATATCTGATTCACCATTGATTTTAATTACAATCTTCTTGTGCATATTTTTACTGTAATTTTGTTACAAGGTAGTTGTAATCCACCTCATTTGTTATTCCACTTCATGTAGGATTTGAATGTAGATAAAGCTTTTATTTGTTAATGAGGGGCATATCTGTCATACTTTTTCCCATACATTTAATCCTATTTAACACAGATATAACCAGGAACAGGAAACTTTGGTGCTATATATACATACAGTAATTAAATTCATTTTTCTGTAATCCAATAAAAAATGTGAGTTCACTTTATTTCAGGTAGTGTGCTGAAAATTATTTAAATTAAGAGCGAGTGCCATGAAAACAGCTGTTCTCTTTGCAAATTGTGAACATTTATGGACTTTTATGATAGCAGGACTTCTCAAAGATGTTCTTGAGTTTCATTTCATGTGTCAGCACAACTTAAAATTAAAAGAGGGTGCATATTTTGTTGTATAATTAATTATTTGCTGTGTTTAGACAGGATATGAATTCCAGGTTTCGATTATGTATTTCATTTTTAAATGTCTTGAAAAATTCTACAATGAATGTATGCTAAATACTTATTTTCAAGATTAGTTACTGGGATATTTCTCATATCTGACATAGCTAGCTGGCCTTAATATAAGTTATTGCACTTTGCACTATTAAACACCAATATTCTTCAGCCTCTTATATTCCTTCATATTGCATTTATTTACTTCTCAAGGCTGCCCTGTATGAATAAGAGGCCAAATTCATGTTCAGCCTTAATTAAATCATTTGGTGTAATATTCATAAGAGTTGTTTTACTGTCCAGCAGGACAGCTTTTCATTTTGTGGGATAAACTTCATACACAAAATAGACTCACCTAAGCTTCCAGGACATTTCATACTTTATTTTCTCCACGAACATTTCTTTCAATGTGTCCGCAGAATTTCATCCACTGTTTTATATTTGCAGATATAAGTTGATTTTATTTTACAATAATTTCTTCTTTTCATCCATAAAATTTCATCAGACATATTGCATACAAAGGTGTATGTCAGTTGTGCTTATTTTACAGGGGCTTCGTATTCCTGGGTTGGTGGAGTGTTAATAACTTCCAATACTAAGAAAGAAAGAAAGAAAGAAAAATTCTTAGCTACTGCATCACTGCTGTCTGTGATGCAGTAGAGCTGCATTTGTTATGGCCGAAGTGGTAATTATTTTAAATTACCCATCAGATTGTACAAATAAAAGTTATGGCACATATCTTAATGCTTTGATTTTTAACTATTTCTTTTTATTGCTAGTGGGGTGGGACTAAGTCCCTTGTACTGTGGCCACTTCTGCCCAATTGTACCAGCCCCAGATGATAGGTGAGGGTGATTGTGGAGCAATTGGTGGAATGAAGATAGGCAGGGGAAATTGAAATACTCAGAGGAAACCTGCCCCAGCGCCACTTTGTCCACCACAAATCCCACTTGACCAGACCCGGGATCGAACCCGGACCGCCGCGGTGGGAAGCCAGCAACTAACTGCCTGAGCTGTGGTGCAGCCTGATTTTTAACTACTTGTTAGAAGTGCTTGGACTGCTTGGGGGTAAGTGCAGTTGTACCATAAAACTCAAAATACTGCCATGTGTTTAGCGACTAGACATGGTGTGTGGATTGGTAATTTGATTTATTGGGCTCTTGAAATTCATAACTACAATTAATTATAGTGCTTTCGCTAATTTGTACATATTACAATTCACTGTTGCATGCACTAAATCTTCTCAGTTCACTGTGTCTTTACCGGTTGTTGCCTTGTACTGGCTCCCAGTGCTGTAGATTCCTTGGTGTCCATGCTCCATGGCTCCAGTCCTTGGCTGGTTGGAGCCTGTCACTCACTAACGCTTCATGACCACAACTCCTGGCTGCTGACTCCTAGCTGCATCTGGCCACCAGTGGCTAGTACTGCCTACCTGCCTGCCTGCACCCTTGCTCCCGACCTGACATTAACCATTCTGACTGCAGTTCTGTTTTGGTCCCCAGCATATAGCCTCAGGGTGGACCACATAGAAAATGCCACCTCCAACAGCTCTTCTGTTGCGTGTTTCTTCACTAACAATCCCTCCACTGTAGTGCCAGCTTCTTTTGCTGCAAGAATGTGTTTCTATTCCACTGTTCCAGCTTTCAGCCATCATGTCACAACACTTTTGTCAGATGACCCTAAAACAGCAACACATATGTATCTTTTGAAGGTCTATTTCTTCCTTTAAACATTGCTGTCACACTTCATCCCATCTATTGGCAGAAATGCTTTACAAAATGGTTGGCAATAACCTTGTTTTTTAAACTGCTGTGGTTTCAACGCAAGTGCCCCAAGCTCATGGAATTGGTTGATGACATGCAAAGGGATAATATCCAAAGGAAGTGGATTTGTGTTAATCATTAACACACATGTATCATTTTCGTGCAGACAGTGGAGGTGGTACAGAAAATTATTGGTGGTGTGGAAAATAAAGACATGTGCTGAGTGTGCTGTAAACTGTGGCATACACACTGAGGTGCTGACTGGATCCTTTCACATGAAGCCTCTATCAAACAGAGCTGAACACAGTCCCAGTGAACTACCAGTGACAGTAACTAGATCTTCACAGTTCTGTCTTATTATACTGTGAAGATGCATTTGTGTAAAGTTCATTGCAGTTGAGCTTGATTTACACTGTGTTCCCAATAACGGCATGAAGCATGTTTGTTACGGGCAATGCCATAAGCACCTCATCCTGAATTATGATAATGTCATCTCATTACTGCCACTTGTGGTTCCTTCAGATGCTCTTCAGCTCAGCATCTAATCATCAGCCCAACTATCTTCATGTGGATAATTTCACTCTCAAAATTAGTACATTAGTGTGTTTCATTTTTCACATTGCCAGTAATTTTTGTGCCATCTCAGCTGTTTGAATGAAAATGAAATATATGATTCCTATTGATTAACAGAAGTCTGCCTCTTTTACATATTAATGTATGTTCTGTAATCTTGACCTGTTCACGGTCTGCTGAATAATTTAAAATAAACCGTTTCTGTATAGTAAATGCAGTTCTGTTGCATCGTAGAAGATATTGCTGCAGTAGTCAGCAATTTTTCATTTGTTTCTCATTAGTATTGAAGGTATTATCACTCTGTCATGTCATGAACACAGAGTCCAGGTAAAATAAGTGCAGTGATCATAATGTGTACAAAAATATTTGATGAAATAGCTATGGACAAAAATGGAACTCGTAAAATAGACACATATTTGTGGACATGTAGAAGTGAACAAAATGTATGGGTGAAAATATAACCGTCAAGTAGAATTGTAGTTGTGGACATAAAAAATGAGTTAAAGGTGTATGGAAAGAGGCAAGTTTTGAAACCATTATTTGGGAACCAAAAATACTACTGCACCAGTCATCTCTTGGGAAATAGCTATGGACAAAAGGAAAAATAGATAAAATATTCATGGACATAATATCTTGGAACTGAGCCAGAAGCTATGTAGATCATCCTGCTGTACCATACAAACTTCATGCACTTTATATCATGTGCTGAAGCAATGTTTCCTGTAGGCTATTATCAGACTGGACAGCCCTGAAAGAGTACGTCTGAAAACACAGTTTAAAGCAAAGGCCAATTTATTAAAAATTCAATAGAATATATTTATGGCATGGCTATTATTATTTTTTTTATTGCTAGTGGGGTGGGACTAAGTCCCTTTTACTGCGGCCACTTCTGGCCTATTGTACCAGCCCCTGATGATAGGTGAGGGTGATTGTGGAGCAATTGGTGGAATGAAGATTGGCAGGGGAAACTGAAGTACTCTGAGAAAACCTGCCCCAGAGCCACTTTGTCCACCACAAATCCCACTTGACCAGACCCGGGATCGAACCTGGACCACCACGATGGGAAGCCAGAGACTAACTGGTTGAGCTGTGGCATGGCTAAATCTCATGTTTTGCAGTTCAGCTTGCTCATTTTCACTCTAGCTGATTGATTTGAATTCTTAACATATTGATATGCTGAAATTTAATATATATTATTGGTATAATAGTTGATGAAGTTGCGCAAGGCATACACAGTGAAGCACATTGTTTCTGTTTACAAACAGCACTGTATTCTTTTATTGATACACTTGCTAGTACTGTTAGTTCCTCGGAACTCTAGCCATGGTAGAGGGGTCATAGTATCTCTCACGGGGCTGGGGGAGCAGTCTTATTAGCTTACGTCAGCATGGGTACTACCAGTTTGGAATGTAGCGTCTCCGAGTGTGGTCAGGTGTATAGTACGTTGTGTTGCTTGTTAGTTGATACCAGTCATAGCGATTGTATTACGTGGTATTTGTATCACTATCATGGCACACCAACAATCGCACGGAACAATTCATAGTGAGGCCACGGAAGTGATAGCTAATGTTTTCTGCTCAGGGAGTAGCTCTGAACGTCACTACAGCAAGCATACAGCTTTGCGTGCCCCACAACAGTGTTTACCTTTTAGTGCAGCTAAAGTTACAAGGTACTAACTGTACTTTAAGTATGCTTACTAAAGCTTAGTGTAATGAGAGATTCAGGAGCATTTCGCTATAATCCATTATCTACCAGGTATGACATGAAGGGGAACAAGAATGAACTCTTCTTTTGCCTCTGCCTTTATGATGATTGGTAATAATTCATTCCTTAAATGTATTAACATAATTTCTGTATCAGTTAAGGAGATGGATTTGCTAGTCTTGATTATATCTGCGTAGGAATGCAACCACCTCATTTACATCTAACAAATATTAAATTCTTCTGATCATTGTTTAATTTGGCCATGGGGATCATGACCTAGGACAAATTCATTGAGAATTAATGAATGTTGGTGAAAAATAATGCTGTGAAGAACTTTGATGTCATAATTCTGACACAGCATTAAGTAAGTATCTTGAGGAAATCGGGTTGTGCCTAGTAATTTGAGTTTTTCAAATGAAGCCATTTTTCTTTGTGTGAACCAAGGTTTTAGAAATAATGATAAATATAACAGAACAAATGAATTTTTAAGGAAAACAGTGTTGTACACACAAGTTTTTTTGCATTTAAAGTGTGCTATATATTTACTACATGGATATTGCCTATCTATATATTTATCAACATCATGTGTGTGTTCTCTGGTTCATTTATTCAAAATGGTTTACTTGTGAGTTGTGATACAGTTGCTTACAGAAAAATGTTAAATCAGTGGAAGGAATTTCTCACAATATGTTGGAAAACATAAATTAAATCAGTGTTTCAGTGTACTGCCTGTTGACTGCAGAAGCAAGTTGAATGTTTTGTTGTTTAAGCTCATGTTTCTAGGTTTTGAAATGCCTTAATTCAAGAGCACAGAACTGTTACTGCTTTTTATGTTTAAAAGATACAAAAGTAAACATGGCTAACACACTGTCATTTTAAATGGTTATCTGTTTAAATCAGTTTCACATTGATGTGTATGTCTGGATGGTTATATATTTGGCCAAATGTTTTATTGATTTCCCTATTAAAATGGAAGAAGCAAAGATGATGCCAGATCGTGTAACTTTGATTCTTGTTGTATCAAGAGTAATAATAATTGCATGTCAGTCATTTGTTGTATTAGCATTTTTAAATTGTCCCCATTACTGCTCTTTTGCCCCATTCATTCGAAAGCGTTTGTTTTTCCTATTGAAATACACATATGAAGTCTGGAAGGATACAACTTAAGATTCATGATTATATCATCATTTATAAATAAATACGTCATCTTTGCATTATTGTTCATATATTTATTTCCACTCGTGATAAAACTGCTAATGCTACTTACTTTATGTAAAACCTTGGCATGAATTGTTAAAGATGAGTTAATAGTAATATAGTTTTGTTCAGTCAGTCATTACTATGTGTTCCTCCTAAACTTGTGTTGAATATTTTTTAATATTTCTTCCCCTATGATAAGAAATCCTAGTCATAATTTAAATTAGTTTCTTTGGGGATGTATATAACACTGAGCTGTATATATCTCTGCATGTATGTGTGGATGTGAGTATGCACACACACATACATATATATATATATTTATGATCTAAAATATTTTTGTTGTGTGTGTGTGATGAGTGTGCAAGGGTGAAAAGGAAATCTTTAGATCATTACCAAGGAGAAAATAATGTAATACTTTGCTTCTTCCAGTGACTTTGAGTTGTTGGTTTATGTAGACATGTCTTTCCCATTTTTATGTCCACCGTGTTGATTGTGTGTGCCTCACCATTGTCACATATCAAGATTGGGAAAACAGTGTATCACTGAGTATTGGATGGAACAACCCATTGTTTGGCACATCTTGTTTGCTTATACAATCTGCCTTGAAAGATGATGAAATTTATTTCCCCCTCCTGTTGTGAATTACTGTGTGTTTGAAATTAGATAGACCTGTTTTTGTACACTTGTTTGGTACAGTGGAATGTAAGCAAATGTCCACAAAGAAAAGTCAGGTTTTCCGTTATTTCTCAAAAACCACTCCTTGCCAAATTCCACAAATCCTATTGCAGAACTGAACTGATGGTCAAGCATACTTCAGTGTTCAGAATGTGCTGTTTATCACACAGATCTGTTTATATTACTTTACAGCATTGCACAGTAAAGCATGTATTATATGGAACCTGAAATGCGACACCTCCATTATTGGAGAAATTTTGTAGCCCAAAGAATATACAGTGAAAGCTAATAATATGTAATTACCTTTAACAAAGAGAGACCAACATGGAGATGAAAATAGTAAAAATTTAATGGAAAGTAATTATTGCATACTGTTCATGAAATTGTATTCCTTGGAATATATCAGGTGCATCTAGAAGTAAGTACTGAGCCAATCTAAAGTGGCACTAACTTGACTAAAGTTAACTAAAACTTAAACTTAACTAAAGTGGGTTGACTCGTGGGACACATATTTGATAAAACCATCTGGTATTCATTTGGGTAAAAATGTAGAGAGGTTAAACTGCAGTAACCTCCACAGTGGTATTTCACTCTATTCAGAGCTTCATTAAGCTGTACTGTTGTTTTGTTGTGTTATTTCATTTGCTGCTAAAAACTTGCCTTCATGAGGATGGAAAGTGGGCTGTGCACTGATGACGTAGTACAGGTATCCCTCAATTTATGAAGGTAATTCATACCATGAAAATTTATAGTAAAAAATTGTATTCCCATCACTTTTTGTGTGAAAATCACCAGCTTGTTAATGAGTCACATAAAAACGCCACAGTATTTTTAACATATGTTTTAATAGTAAATAAGCATTAAAATAAAGACAGTACTACTTGTTTATGATGATGTTACTGCAAATAAAATTATATTATTTTATTTGTGTTTATTTTCTCATAGCTGATGCAGTGCATTGATGCAGCTTTGTTATGCAGACGAAGTCTTTGAGTTGTATGTCTTTATGGCTAGGAAACAAATGTAGATTGTATGTCAGTGTGGTAGCATCACTGATTTACTGTCAGGTCTGCTGACCACAGAGGTTATAAGGTATGCACTAGAAGCTAAATTGTTGCAGAACAGTTTACAATAAATGCAGTGCACAAATATTAGAGAGAAAAACTAAGTTCTTCATTGTAGTGAAACTGAAGTTTGCTAAGTGAAAAAACAGGTACATATTAACACATATTGTTATAGCAAAAATTTGAAAATCAAGTTTTCATAAAATGAGGGATACCTGTTCATGGATTGAGGTCCGCATGGCAATGTCATACAAACAGCACTGCAAATGGGCCAGTCAAATTTATGTTCTTAAATCTGTTCAGAACATTCAGAATGACAAGAAATATACAATCCAGTGGTTGCTATGATGTCAGGTGGCAGACATTGTTTAGGTAACCCTAACTCGTGCAGCAAATGTCAGACTGTTTGTAGTAAACTTAACTGCCGCAGACTAATAGTATCCACCATTTCTCTGAAGACTGAAATATTCTCAGGTGTTCAGTGAAACTAAGCTAAGCACTCCAAATTCAAAAACAGTGATGTTCAACATGCAGAATCTGTTATCATTTACAGTAACCTTCATATGTCCAGGTGTCAAGTGAACTGAGAAATTATAACTTTGTTCAGATATATGTAACAAACTGCTATGATTAATTGAGGTGACTAATATGTGAATCCACTTTCCAGCTACATGAACCTCTGTACCTGTAAAAGGTGCCTTGAATAAGTTTCATGCAAATCAGTACTGATCTGGTAAACTTGAATCCTAAATTCATCCTATGAATAAACCACCACTCCCAGAAATAAGCCATAAAAACCACATAAATTGAGAGAGACGGACTGTGAGACAAGTACAGTATCTGTGATAACAGAAATGTATTCTGGTCTTGTTGTTCACTTCGTCCTTGACACGCATCAGTCGACTTACAAATATATGTATGAATAGCATAATGTACAGTACAACAGTATAGGTAGAATAGGTGTTCATAAGTTTGGGTACTCCACTACCCATGATTACATTATTTGTTTGGGGATCACAGCATATGGAACTTAAATGATGAGGTGGAAGTAATGTGTGGTGCACAGCTATGGCTCATTTAAGTATGATCTTGACATTCTTCTATAGCGACAAGAACCATAAAATGCCTTTAACAGAATATCCAGTACCAAGCCTCAGGTAAAGATACAGTAACAAAGATAATGGTGAAATGCGCCAGTTTCAGTCAACTGTCTGGTCTTGCATGCTGCCTAATCTGAACCGGTCTCTTGGTGCACAGTGTGTAGATTTTATATAACCACGTGTTAGGGTTCTTATGTTTTAGTTGACAGTTTGTATCACTTATTGTAATGAGCCTTTTGATGTTAATTCTGTTCTTGGGTTGTTATGCCATGTGGCTGTGGGCAGTGTTGCCAACATTTTAGAGGTACATGCTGCCTCCATCTCCAGGTGTGAAGTATGAAGCATTAACATTAATAATTAACCAGTCTGAAAGCCCAAAATTAGTAAAGGAGCCTGTTTTAGTCACTATTCATTTGTGACATTGAGTTGCACATCTGAACAGTTGCTCTACACTGACTACATTACCAAATGTTTCATTAAATTAGTATTTCCTGAGTAGTTCTATAGCATATTAATGTCATGCCAGTCACAACTTCTGATCTATGATGGTGATGTTAATTCCTTGATGAAAACATAAATACCATAGAGGGAGACAAGTTCTATTTGATACTGGAAGGAAAAGCAAAGAAAACATAAGTGAATATTCATGGCTCATCTTCAGAATGCAGGCCAAAATCATAAGATAACAGCTACTAAATTGTTAAAAAATGAAATGTTCAGATACTTAAGAATGACTCGCATAAATTACACATATGAAGAAATTAAGAGCAGAAATTAATATTCAGGATAGTGCAGTCGGTATAGCGACTGGCTATGGGCTGGACGACCAAGGTGCCAGAGTTCGAGTCCCAGTAGGGTCAAGAGTTTTCTGTTCTCCACATTGTCCAGACAGGCACCGGGGTCCACACAGCCTCCTATCCAATGGGTATCGGGGGCTCTTTCCCTGGTGGTAAAGTGGCAGGGGCTTGAAGCTGACTACTCATCTCCAACTAGTGCTGAGATCAAGAAAATGTGGAACTATGCAGTACATCCACTCCCTCATATTCCTTCATGTTGTAATGCTTAATTACTTAAGCACAGGGACAACTTTTACCTTATGTTAAATAATAGGCACCTGTGGCAGGCTCTTACTTAGACAGTAAAACATTTTGGTTCCCCAAGGTGGGAAGGAACTGTTAAATTCTCAAGGAGGGCTCTGTTCCAGGTAGTTGCTGAGTTATGTGGCATGGTTCAACTTTACACAGTACTGACACTCTTCTCCATAAAATATTTGTTACTAAATTTTGTGCAATTCAGTAGCATAAAGTTCATGCTAAATTTTGTGAAAATTGGGTGGTTAAAAATTTTAAATGAGTATGTGCAAGTACTGGTACCTTTTCTTTCACAAATGAAAGCACTGCACTTAATTAACAATTATTTTGGGGGTTTCCAAAAATTTGTGATTCACATCTACATATTTTGATTCATATTATAATCACTGTACATAATGGTGCACCATAGAAGATTTTAGTATTCAACTAGAGTAATACTTTTTTCAGACAAGTAATGACTTCAAAATTAGCATGAGAGGGAGGTATTAGTTTTAATATACAGAACATCACAAGGCATAATTCACACTATATGATATAAACAAAGTGCAACAGGATGCTTAAATATAATATTATAATTCACACTGTTGAGCTGATGTCAACCCACATTGGATAGCAGTGAGTTATGTCCAAAATGGTCAGCACTGTGTGGGAGACTGATCAGTTGCTTCATTCTTCCTTAAAGATGTATGGCAGATGAAAGGTGTCTAAATGCTGAAAACATTTTTAATGTCAGTTCTGGATATTGCAGTAGCAGCTGTCCAGAGGCTTTCTGGCCTTAGACTGATAACAGGATTGTTAGGTGGCCACTGTACATTGAGACAGCATCAACATGTTACAGGGTTCTTAGGTAAAGACATATGCAGGAAATAAATCTCCTACCACATACATACTCTATCAGTGACCAGGTTCAAGTGGGCTTAGAATTAAGTCAGCTAAAGTGTTTACTTTGCTTGATCTCAACTCTGCGTACCATCAAATCGCATTGACTGAGCAATCAAAGCCTCTCACGGCGTTCGCAACCGACTGGAACTTGTATGAGTACACTAGGGTTCCCTTTGGCATAGCAACAGGCTCTCAAGTTCTTACGTGCTTGTTGAATCAAGTCTTCTCTGACATCAAATTTAAATATGTCTTCCATTATTTGGATGACTTGGTGATCTATAGTGATTCTTTTGACGTGCATCTCCACCACTTGCGTGAAGTCTACCAGGCTGCGCAAGGCTGGATTGACTGTAAATCCTAATAAGGATAAATTTGCCACAACTCAAGTTACCATTCCTGGGTCACATCATTGCCTCTTCAGGTGCCTCTGTGGACCCTGATGGGACTAAGTCTGTTAGGGATTTCCCACCTCCGCGTGATGTTAAAGGAATCGCGCTATTCATAGGAATGGTAAATTTTTTTCATAAGTTCATTCCACACTTTGCGGAACGTGCTGCCCCTCTTAACCTCCTTTGTAAGAGGGATACTCCATTTGTTTGGGGGTCGGAACAGCAACAGGCGTTTCAGGATTTGAAACTTGCTATCATCAATCCTCCAGTTCTACGCATGGCCGTAGGTTTATCCTACAGACTGATGCCAGTTCCCTTGCGGTTGCCGCAGTCCTATTGCAGGATTATGAGGGGGAACGCCAACCAATAGCGTTCGCTTCCCGGACGTTGTCTCAACAGGAGAGGAAGTTTTCGGCGTATGAGTTAGAATGTCTTGCCGTGCTTTTTGCTCTGGAAAAATTTCGCCCATATCTGGAACACGTAGTTTGATTTAGAGACAGACAATCAAGCTATTACGTGGTGCCTCTCACATCCACGTCAATTAGGAAGAATAGGTCGTTGTGTCATACGACTGTCATCATTTAAGTTTCAGGCTCACCACATTCGTGGCACACAGAATGTCATTGCGCTCTGATTCAGAATTAAATGCCATTATAGACAGGCTGAGTTCAGAAGAAGGAATGGATAGGAGGGTGTGAAAATGATTGCGAAGCAGAAAACTGAGCCACATGGAACCGCAATTCTGTTCAGGTGTAATCTTTCTGCTGTAGTGAACTTACTTTCCAAGAAATGTCTCCTGCACAAATATTTCTTTTGCGGTAGTCTAGCAGAATCAAAGTTGCTGGATATTACAACTTTTCATGCCCATACCTCATCCCTGTAAAAGTATAATTGTCTCAAAACCTCGAAATAATTCATCAGAAAACATGACACACATGATGCACGTGGTAAATTTTGGGGTTATGTTGAATAAAATGAAAGCAGACATAAACTACACTTAATTTCTTCCTTGGATTTAACTACACCTAGAAGAGCCATTGCACCATGAATTAAAACAGACATACCGTGCTGGACCCTGTACAAGTGTTGCCTCCGCATATACAGACACTGGTTATTAATGGAAACCCTACCTTACAGCTTAATTTTCTGTTTCAATTTCAGCAAAAATAACCTAAGAGATAGTTTCATAGTTCGTATTCAGACCGTT